ACTGCCCATAATGGTGAATATTCAATCAACCAATTATTCATGAATAACCCTACACTAGAGAAGATTTTGTTTTCTCCATATTTCGCTCCGAGTATCTGAGCTGGAACATGAGTTTATTCAGTCAGACGTAGCAGAGATGTTTATCCCTGAACAGCAGAGAGCCCTCGTGAGGGAACCGTTCTAGCCTCAGAATTGGAATCCAGAGATGAGCCTGGATCAATACATAGATCCACAGCGCTTTTGCCCATCAGACAAATTCAAATTAGCTTAGCCCGTGGGCCCAAATCTTCACAATATGTTGTATAATGAACTGAACATTTACATGGATTCAGCAAGCAGCATGACTCCATTCCAGTGACTGCTGTAAAATGCCTAAAAAACAGTGGATGTCTTGTGAAGATGGGTGTGCTGGTAATTTGCAGTTCTGGGCCTCCTCAAAGACACATGGTTTCATTTTTCTTTAAGGAGGTAGTGAGGGCGCAGCAAAGTGGACCACAGGTTACAGCTGTTCTCCTCTCCTCACTCTCCTAATGTGAAAAAAACACTTTAAATGGGCTCTGTCTGTCTGAAGTGAAGCCTATCACTCACAGAGGAACAAGGGGCCTGGGAGCTTCTTATTGCTCTAGTCTATCCAAATTCTAAGAGTATTCCCAAGTTTTGATTTTTGATGTGGAAAGTTGGAGATGCATGTCTTTTCTCTCAGCCCTTTATGCATTTGTAAATCTCTTTTACAAAACAGTGGATTATCCCTGAAATTGATTAATAGGAAAGTGATAGGGCCATGTCCTATCAGGTGGGGAAGCACATGTTGTGTGTTGACTACAATATATCACATACAAGACAAGACTGAAAATCAAGGTGAAATAATAGGCTAGTCCATTTTGCCAAAATTAAATTTCTGAAAGTCAAAATGCTTCTCAATCTTTTATGTGGCCCCCACATGCTTGTATGCCTGTTTGAAAACGTCGTGGCATGCTAATGAAACAATGGATGGTGTCTTGTGGGATGTACTCCCAGATCTGTGTAAGGCCTTTACTGAGCTCCGATAGAGTATGAGGGGCAACCTGGCAGCATCTGATGGCCCAAAACATAATGTCCCAGAGGTGTTTTTTCAGGTTTAAGTCAGGTGACCGTGAGTGCCATTCATTTTTATCAATACATTCAGGCTGGGCATTGTTGTGCATCAGGTCTGTCGATGTGTTCAAGGATTTCATCCCAAAACCTAATGGCAGTCAAACTGCCATTTCTATCCCGTAGAGGTCTGTGCATCCCTCCATGGATATGGCTCCCCAGACCATCAGTGACCCACCACCAAACTGCTCAAGCTGAATGATGTTGCAAGCAGCATAGTGGTATTGTTGTCTTCTCCAGACTCTTTCACATCTATCACAGGTGCTTAGGGTGAACCTGCTCTCAATTCGGAAAAGCACAGGGAATCAGTGGACTTGAATTCTGGTGTTGTCTAGCAAATGCCAGTGGAGCTCCACTGTATTGGATGGTGAGCACAGGGCCCGCTAGCATGAAGTATTCTGGAGCTTGTGCTGGGAGATACTTTAAATCTCCTTGCAACGGCATGTCTGAATGTGCCGTCCTGGAGAAGTTGGGCAGTCTGTGTTCTGTGGGGTTTAGGAATGGCCTCATACTCCCAGTAGTGATAATCATTCTAGCCAAAGCCTGCTCTAGTGCACAATCAGTCAGAAAAGACCAAGAGTGAGAACTTGACATCACCTCCGCATGCAAAACCAGTCCTGTTTTGGGGTTGTCTCATTGTTGTCACTCTAGTGCACCTGTTGTTCATTTACAATAAAAGAGGTAGCATCCTTTTGCTCCTAAGATATTGCCCTGTCCATATTTGTATAGATACGTAGCATTTTTTTCCATATTGAGAATTGATGTGTTTTCAAAGTGTTCCTTCAAATCTTTTGAGCAGTGTACAGTATATGAAGATATATGGAATCATAAAAATACTGACGTGGACAAAATTGTTGGTACCCCTCTTGTAATGAAAGAAAAAGCAAAAATGGTGACTGAACTAACTTGAAACTGAGAAGAGCAATAATAAATAAAAAAGAAATCCTGAAAAATAACCAATGAAAATCAGACACTGTTTTTTAAATAGTTTTTAAATAGAATAAAAATGAATAAATAAATCAATAAATAAACTAATGAAACTGGCCTGGACAAAAATTATGGTACCCTTACAAAATAATTGGACAATAGGGATATCTTAAACTTAGGTGTGTCCTCTAATTTGCATCACAGGTGTCTTCAAACTTGTTCTCAGTCAGTCTGCCTGTTTAAAGGGCAACATGTTGTTTTTGTGCTGTTTGTTAAAATGATGGATACAACACTGAACATGGACCAGACAAAGCACAGAAGAGAACTGTGTCAGGAGATTAGAAAGAAAATATTAGACAATTAGGTTAAAGATAAAGGCCTTAAGACCATCTTCAAGCAGCTTGTTGTTTCTGTGATTACATGTTCTTCAGAAGTTTAAGGTCCACAGGACTGTAGCCAACCTCCTTGGATGTGGCCGCAAGAGGAACATTTATGACAAATTGACCATACGAATGGTAACCAAACAGCCAAGAACAAAAAACAAAGAAATTAAATGTGAAGTGGAAGGGCAAGATACATCAGTGTCAGATCACATCATCTGTCACTGTTTGAGCCAAAGTGGACATCATGTGAGGACACCACTGTTGAGAGCAAATTATATAAAAGTGAGACTGGAATTTGCCACAATGCATATTGACAAGCACAAAGCTTCTGGGAGAATGTTCTTTGGCCAGATGAGACAAAATTGGAGCAAGGCACAACAGCTTTATGTTCAGAGACGCAAAAATGAGAAGAAAAGAACACTGTCCTTACTGTGAAGCATGGAGGAGGCTTGGTTATGTTCTGGGGCTGTTTTGCTGCATCTGGCACAGGGTGTTGAATCTGTGCAAGGTACAACGAAATCTCAAAACTAACAAGGTATTTTGGAATGAAATGTGTTGCCAAGTGTCAGAAAGTTTGGTCTCAGTCGTAGGTCATGGGTCTTCCAACAGGACAATGACCAAAAACACACAGCTAAAAACACACAAGAATGACTTAGAACAAAACATTGGACTATTCTGAAGTGGTCTTCTGTGAGTCTAGATCTCAATCCTACTGAACATCTGTGAAATGAGCTGAAACATGCTGTTTGGAGAAGACACCCTTCAAACCTGAGACGACCAGAACAGTTTGCTCATGTCTCGTGAGTCAAAATACCTGTTGGCCTGTGCAGAAGTCTCATTGACAGTTACAGAAATCATTTGTTTGCAGAGTTTGCCTCAAAAGATTGTGTAACAAAGTATTAAGTTTAGGGAGTATTAAGTTTAGGGTACCATCATTTTTGTCCAGGCCAGTTTCATTATTTTGTTTTTTCAAAATGATTCTCTTTAACCACAGGTCAAAAGAAATGTTTGATTTTTGTTAGACAGTTTTCAGTAAATTTTTATTTATTATTGCTTTTATCAGTTTTCAAGTTATTTCAGTTATTGGCGATTTTTCTAATTTGTCAGAGGGGTACCAACAATTTTGTCCACGTCTGTACATTATTCAGTATTCAAGTTCTTTTCTCCACTACATAATTCCATATATCTTGCTACTATGGGTGGCATGGTCACATGGTCACAAAATTCACGGTTCGGTTCGTAATGCGGTTTAAGGTTGTGGTTTTTGGTTCGGTATGGTTTTTGTTGTCGTTTTTTCTTTTTTATCTTTAATCTCCAGAAATATACTTCATCATATGCTATGCTATCTTAATTATCCACAATTTAGGATACAGCATTAAAGTTATGAACTTATAGTTACTAATGTAATCATGCACAAACTGAATTTTACTTGACTTTAAGCACATTATTTTTGGACGTAGGCAGCTGTTGTGCTTTTGTGAAAAAATTTTACCACCTTCCTAACCCTCCTCAGGAGTCGGGATACTTGGTTTAGTGAGATTGCGCTCTTGGCTGCAAGGTTAAGGGCCTGGCTCTACTGTACACGTCAGCATTTACACGCGTAACCTTGTGAAACCACAGCCGCGTGTCAATGCAAAGGAGGCTCCACCTGCAGCTGCAGCAGGACATACGTACACGCACAGCACTGGCTCTGTGTTTGTCAATGAGAAAGCCTTTGTGTTGACGTGTGGCTGTGGTTTCATGAGGTAATGACACGGGTGCATCTTCCATCTCCGGGTAGCCTTCTTCTCTCCTACTTGCCATTTCTGCATGTGACGCGCAGCACCCACCCTCCAGACTTCTTCTTTTGTGCCAAAGCGAAACAGGTCACATACGGGCACGAGGCTACAATGCGCAAGCCGAGAACCATGAAAACCGTACGATATGCACACGTCTCGAACCTTGACAAGCGAACCGAACAGTTCGGGTTTTTTCATGAACTGTGCCACCCCTACTTGCTACATATATTTGATGTCTTTTGTTTGTATATAAAATGTAAAAAGTGATAAAGATTAAAAAACACTGAATGAGATGGTGTGTCCAAACCTTTGACTGGTATGGTGCAGTTATAAAATTTCATAGATACAAAACACTGAATTTGAGAAGAGGGCTGTAGACACTTTGAGTTGATTTTTTGTCTCACTCTACTCTCCAGATCCTGCTGCATCTGTAGGTATCTTTCCTCTGGCCAGTCAGAAAGATTTTTAACGCTGAAAAATCACAAACCGTCAGGTCACCTTATTGATAAAGGCAGTTTATTTTTATGTTTTCCCCAAAACCTTAAGGAATGACTTGTGTAATTAAGATGTATGAGATAAGCCATTGAGACAAACAATTTGGATCCTTTAATGGTGCTGTGTATATTGGCACAACAATAAGCTATGCAGTACCATTCCTCAACACAGGTTAAAGGTGTAAAAGACTATGTGCAGCCACTGCAGTGCATGCAAGTGAGACCAAGAGGCTACATAGCTTTAAGTGACTGTGATGTGACACATGCTTTTATCTTTTGTTTGACAGGATGGCCATCCAAGTGGACAAGTTTGACTTTGAGAGTGTTCCCCAGCCGGAGCAGGAGCCAACACACTTCACTAACCTCAGACACATGGAGGAGGAGCGCCAGCACGCTCGCGGGTGCCAGATCAACAGCAAGCTGGGCATCTGCTGGACCATCATATCCTTTTTTTTTTTTTTTAGAAAGATAAGGTTTGTGAGCCACCTACGAAAAGGCTCTTTACTCTAACATTCACATTAAATATTAAAATTGCATTATAATTCTAACAATTACTGACAGCTTTGTTTCTTAAAGCCTGTTTGTGACAATCTTAAATTCAAATGAGCCCAAAGCCTGTCAGATTGGTGAGGAGCCGAGAACACAAAAAAGATGAATCCAATCTTTGAGCTTCAGAGGCTGCCATTGTATCGTCCATCTTCACAAAGGCATGCACACACAGCACATTGTCTCATCTACAAGTCATTTGGCAGGGTGTGGGCCGCAAAAGAAAAAAGGAATGTGGGATCCAAGTCCAATCTCAGCTCATAACAGACACTTTTGAACCTTGCCCTTGTATAGGTACAACACAATACAACTAAAAAAAAAGGTGTTAAAGTAGGTTCAAATACAATAATATATTTTACATTGCCTGAGGTCCTGGAGTGATTTAGGCGTCTAACTGTGTGGACGATTATCATGCTTTGGGAAAAAACAAATAAACTCAAATATGCTAAGAAGATTACACCCTGCATTGGTTCTAAACCATAATCAACTTGCTGGCACATTCATGTGTCAATGCTGTCTCCCCAGAAGAGCTTTCTAATTGCTTTATCAAACAAAGGTGAAATACAATTACACATTTATGGCAGTAGCATCTAGAGTAGTAGTAATACTGTAGTTGTAGTATGATTACTGTTGTGATTTTTATTTAAGAAGCTGGAAACATTTGTTACAGATAGGATTGGTTACAGTAGTAGCAGTTATAGTTGTAGTTGTGGAACTCACAAAACAGCAGTATAGGCCTATAGTACATGCATTTGATTTTCCACAAATAATAATGTCAAGAAAAAGTAATTGAGTGTTTTCTGACATACTGATAATATTTAAAGGTCCCATATTGGACTCCAAAATTGACTCCTGTGAGTTTTTAGCTATGTTATAATTTTGTGACTTCATTAAAACATACCTGAAGTTGTGTTTTAGTTCATTTACACATGCTTGACTAATCCATTATTATTAGACTGTCTATATCTCCAAAGCTCAAAATGCTCTGTTCCACCTTGTGATGGCATGCAGTTGTAGTTTTCAAGTTATCAGCGACACTTTACCTTTAGTTCAGTAGAGATTGACAATTCCAGGACTGAAACCATCCAAATTATTCTAGTGAATCTCTGTGGAGTATAAAATATACAGTGGAGCACTTCCCATATTACCACATGACATTCTGTCTATTTGACAGAAGAACTCAGCCTAAATATGCAGGATTTATCTGTTAAACATGTGTGAATTAAACAAAAGAACTCCAGGTATGTTTGCGTTAAGAAAACAACATTATAACATAGATCAGGAAATAGTGTAATATCGGCCCTTTTAAAACCAACAGTGCTTTTATTAGTGTACTTATTATGCCTTTTTTTTTCTGATTCAGGCATGAAGACATTTGACTGCAAAACATGCTGCACTCAGAAACATAGCCTTGAGCAGGGGAGCAGTGGCTTCAATATGTGTTTTATGACTTCATTATAATATTCCTTATGTCCGGCTGATGACATGAAATTAGGAGCAGAGAATTTGACATAGTCACACCACAGAGGTGCCAGAAAGGTCATTTTTCTACAAAACACTATTACAATATGCATTTACATTTACAGTATTAACACTGTCAAACTAAATTAACTGTTAACTACAGAAGTGCATTACACATATTCAAATTATTTGAGCCACTCTGTGTGTATTTTTTATAATGCAAAGACATGCTGCACAAAACATGACTATAAAGCTCTCTTATAGGCTTAGTGGTAAAAAGGGCTCTGGGTGAATTTGTAGTAAATTTAAACGATGTAATTTGCAGAAAATAATCCAAATTGGCCCAACACATCAGTCAAAAATATCATCAGATATCAGCCATCATTTTCTCTGAATTCTAAACAATTGGCATCAGCATTGGCAATGAAAAAAAACATATCGGTTGGGCTTTGTTACAACTGCTTGTTATTGCCCTTTGTTAGGTTACATTCTTAAACGTCTGTCGCAATCACATTCAATGATATCATCATATTCACCCTTTTAAACACACTACATGTGTCCTCTTGAGTCTTTTGAATGTATTCTAGTCTTAAAAGGTTAATGGACCCAGAGTGTGTGTAGTCTATATGCAGCTTATGTTCTAGATTATTTCAAATGTCAGCTGTGTAAAGGATCAGTGTTGTCCTTATCAGCTCACATTATCAGGGTAATTGCTCCCTGACAGTCCCATTTGTTTTGATAGGGGTGCTGCAAACATCAATAGCCCTGGTCCTGCCATTTCACTGTCATAATTATAGCTCTAGTTTACAGCCACACATGAGTCAGCTTGGTCCCATGTTTGCTGATTTCCACTTCAAGTGGTCAGTGTTAGGAAGGATTTATAATAAGCTGTGTTTGTGAATACCAGGAGACCACTGTTAGACAACGTCTGCACTACCAAAAGTTATCACCAATATCATCAGAGTAAAACTAATTATCTTTTGTAACAGAATAGAACATTTTCACAGATTATAATGCATGCAAGCTGCTTTTTTTTTTAATGTATTTTTTTGTTTTTGTTGTGATGACTAAAAAAGAAATCTCCCATAAAGTAATGATCATAATTTTATCTTTTTTTTTGAAAATTTCCTCAAATTTAGACAAAAATATTAAGTTGTGTTTATAGAAAAGCAGAATTAAGTTGAATGGATTTTAGATGCACAACACAACATACACAACATACATACATGAATGGAGGAGGAGAGATATTAATCGAGAGACTGTATAAATTTCAATACAATCAAATTTACTAAAAGAAAACCTGGAAAATCTTGCATCTCAAACAGACATCAAGACATCATCTTTCTGGCATCTGTTCACATCTTTCTGTCTTCTTCCTCAGTATCTTAAAGATAGAAAAGAATTTCTTTGAATATCTGAAATTGTATATTTAGTATATAGTTTAGGTAATATTTTGTATTGTATAGCGGAATTATCAGACTATATCACTTTGCCTTCTACACAATGTCATTGACACTGACAATCATGCCAGTGTCTCATAGGATTTCAACAGATTTCAGGCTCTTCCGGGGTCTAATAGTGTCAATCAGATATAAGTGAATGTCCAGTTACAGAAGTATGAGCCATTTCTTCTTGTCATTTATGTACTCGCATTTAACGCATGTAGGTTATTAAGACGTATCCCACTCACTCATGTTCATTTAGCATTTAACAATGCTAGTTAGCATTGCAACTTCATGGTAACTGCGCATACAGCAGTGCTTTCTGCACTCAGGTTGCGCACGCATTCGCTATGTTGCCAAACAAATAATCCATCTATAGTTTAGTTTTGCAATATGAAGCAATACAAGTTGTTTTAGTTGTTTTAGTTCAAAATGTCATTATATGCAAAAACGTCTGCATTACATCTAGCCGTTACGCACAGTTCTCTGTAGTATAAAATTGTCTTTTTTTCTATATCCACTGAGTTTTGTGTCATGGCTGTGGTCCTTAACAAAGGGCACCCTTCTCTGCAGCGGCGAGGAGAGGCCAGTGTGGAGGGGGTTCTCAACCAGCTGGTCCTGGAGCACCTGCAGCTGGCGCCTCTTCAGTGGGGTAAGTCTGAGCAGAAGGAAACAAGCAGAGTCCACGCTGTACTTTTGCATCTGCCAAAGAGAAACCATGAGTGGCATGGCATGGTTCTAAAGGCACGTTTTAGGTTATTACTCCCATTTGATAAAGTGGTGCCTTGTCTTCTCTTTGTCTACAAATTGTGTTTATGCCATGATGGTAATAACAACAATAATAATAATAATAACCCTAACCCTAATCAGTTTTATGTAAGCACTTTTCAACTTAAAGATGCTTCACAATAATGTAACAGAAAACAAGTGGTTAGGAAACTTTTATTTACAGTTTTTTAAAGGTGTTCCATGAGTTTGAGTTTCTGATGTGAAGGGGGAGAGAACTCCAGAGTGAGGGGTAGCGATGGAAAAGGTAGTGTGTGGTTATAAAAGGTGACGTTCGGTTATGTTTAGTGAGGTTAAAGACTTTATGCTTTTATCCGCTATACAGTTATAATCTTTGACAACCCTTATTTTATACTTTTGACATCGCATTAGTGATTTCCCCGTGTCCCTTTATTTTTAAATATATTTAGCCTCCTTTAAAGTTGATTATGTGGAAAGAAAAGCATTATACCTTCAATGCAAATCACAAATGCATGCCAAAGCCTTTCTGAACTATTTTAGCTTGGTTTCACTTTAAAAAAAAATTAAAACTTGTCATCCTAATTTGAACCTAATTGCACAGCCAAACGTTTTCTGTTTATGCATATTGGCCACACTCTTTACCTGTCTGCATATAAGCTAGTCTCCAGCTATGTTTGTATTTGCATTTTTAATGGGTTATGGGCCATTCCTGTTCAAAGTGTCGATAACAGCATGAGAGGCGCACAGACTTTGCAGGAGCACTCTTGGTTCCCACCATCTGTGCCATCATCTTTGGAAATCACTTCAGATTTAGCGCGGCTGTTTGCTTCGGGAGCCACGTCCTCGCTCTCCGGGCACTGCCAGCCGCTTTGATTCGTCAGCTGTGACTGTCTTACGTTTGCAAGAGAAAGCAATCTGCCCGACGAGGCACCACACCAGATCAAGCATGGAAATGTACAAATCTATCCAGACAAAAATAGAGGGAAGCAGATATATAGCACCACCCCACCTGACTCCTGACATCTTTCCATTGTGAGCTGCTGTCGTGATGGCAACAAACATTTATATTTACTCTTCATTCTGAGTACAATGTGAAAGTGTTTGTGTAATAACAAGCACTTCGGTAGAGGGCTTTTTCTGATTATGAGTCAGATCATTGGCCTCAGCCCATTAGAATGCCTTTATCCGAGTTGCCAAGACTATCACAGGCTCAATTACTGGTATAGTAGAAGCATTTCCCCAGCGTCTGAAATCGTTACTCCAATTGGATGCTTTTAATGCCTTTGTGGCTCACTACGTGCTCACTCTCATCGACAGAGATATGAGAGATAAACACTCCACTCGCAAACATCCTGAATTGATTTGATTTCATTTATTTAATTGTAGCAAGACAATTCCTCCAGGATTTAAGACTGGAGAAACTCTGTGGATGGTGAATTTTAATGGGCTTCATAGTAGTGTGGGGATTTGAGTAGCTTATGATTTGACTTGGTTAATACCAGATACTGCTTTTTTGATAGCACTGTTCCACACTTAAAGGTGCACAATGTTCATTTTTTGGTGGAAGATCTTCCACCTGTTTCCTTCCATGGGTATGTTATTGCTTTGCCTGAAATGTTTCATAGTATGGCATTAAACTTATCTATCTCCATGGAGATGAGCAAGGCGCCAGCCAGGTTGCTGGCCAGATTTATGGAGAGGTGAGCTGGCTCACAGTAATAGTGCATCTTTGTCAAGGGATTTTTAAACAATAAAAACACCTGTAATTGAAGGAATGTTACATTTATAACCATACCTTGGAACATTCCAGGCAAAGCCATTACATCTCCATGGAGACAGCTATATGTAGATCCCCCCCTTCCCCCACCACCACTAGAAAAGCTACATATTATGGAAGGTACTAGACAAAGAAAAGCAACATCTCCATGGAGTCAAATAAGTGGCATACCCTCCACCAGAAAATGGTTCATTAGTGTGAGTGTGTGATCTGGGTACTCTGGAAACAGTTGCTGACACTGAATATGTTGACTTTTCCCTCCAAAATATTTAATTTTAAAAACACTGAGGAAAATGATCATCTGTGCATTATTCTAAAACTTGTTTTATATTATTGCATCTAAATGGTGAACTGACAAGAGCATCAAATATTTTCTTCACAATTACATAACCACTGCTTGTCTTTGCTGGAAGTTGTTTTGAAATGAGTGACATTCGTCTGTTGGCGAAATTAATTGTTGCTAGGTTCAAAGTAAGCCAAGTTGCTGAGCTGGCTGGACTTCAGGCAGAATGCTTTTATGTTTATGTGGGAAATACATTTGGCCACAAGTGAAAGAAAGAAAGCAAGCAGCGTTTTTTCCTCTCAATTTAGTCTTTTGTACTTTTTGTTTATTTTGTAAGTATAGACAGCTTAGCCATTATTGTGCTCACTGGGTATTCTCTCAAGTACAAATCTACAAAAAGCCTTCTGGAAATGCACTACTGTTATTGCTATAATTTATTGTGTAAAGAACCACACACACTGGTAAAAAACAATATTTAAATATAGCCACAAGCAGCAATGACCGGCCCTCGCACACCCCGCAAGTGCTTCAACCTCACAAACTAACCCTAACTTTAATCCTAATTCTACTCTTATGTTATCTGCCTCCTTTTAACACTGTTAGTTACTTTACTTTTTATACCATGCACTTATGTGTATGTTGGATGAAAGTGAGCCAAACAGTTATAGTACTCACTGTATACAAGTATAATTAGTTTGTTTATACAGTTACACATTGCATCGTGGTATGAACTGCTACATAGCTACTCTTAAAATTTGATCTCCTCATTGTTTTCTGTAACATTTCAGATGTGCATTTTAATTTTAATTTATACTACCAGTCAAAATGTTGGTATCTGCCAAGTATCTTACTTCATACATTTGATGTCTTCTGTATGTACAAATGAATAAAAAGTAAACAATAATAATAATAAGTAAAAAATTAAGTAATAAAAATAAAGACAAAAAAATATTGAATGAGAGGGTGTGTCCAAACTTTTGACTGGTAGTGTATGTTTGACAGTTACTCAGTTGCTTTGTCTGTAAAATAAGGTTCAATAATAAGTCAATTTGAAAATAGATAAAGTCCCAGTTACTTGATCTCATATCTTTCAAACCCAGCACCTCTTCTTCCTGGTAGCCTGTTCTCATTCTCTGCTCTGACTGTGAGGGCCAGCCTCTGTCACACAGGTCCAGCAGCGTGTGAGTGCTGACCACAGCTTTAGAGCTGCCCAAGAGCACAGACACTACAAACTACAAAAAGTCAATGTCCGCACAGCACTCTCACAGGAGAATATGGTGCCTCAATTACTTACTAACTGTGGAAAGTTGAATTTGAATATGATTAAAAAAGGATCTTTCAAAGCTAAACATGTTGCGTTCACCCCGTGGCCACCTATCCAACATGCTAAGATCATATCTGTCTTTTCAATGGTATTGCTATAAATATAAGTTTAAAGGAATGGTAAATAGATTTAATCGATTCAAACTATTATTTAGTCATTAGTTTCTTTTCTTGCTTTAATGTGTAATCTTAAGGAACACAGTTCTTGTCAAAACTCTAAATGTGTTCGTCTGTAGCAGGTATTGGATATGCGTGACAATTTTTATTGTGGGCATTATGTAAATAAAGCCATTGATTATAACTGCTTAGCTGTCAATTTGATTAGGGGCAGAGTGGCACACCTTGTAATCGGAGCGGCTGTGTCAACTTAATGGAGTGTTGCTAAATAAACAGTCACCTGACCAATCAGGCAAAGCTTTTAGCGACAATGACACCAGCCTCAGCCAATGGGATTAAACAGGGTTAACTTCATAATAAAAGCTGTGGGGAATCAATTTAATGAGAAATAATTGGCTCTTAAAGTAACACTAATAAATGTCATTACATATTTAGTTAACTAATAGGACAAGCCTGTAGTAATATATGCTTAACACACCATGCAGTATTGGATTTAGAGTTGAACTTTATACTGTGTAGAATAAATTTCAATGACATTAGTCTATGCTATGATACACTGCCATAATTAGAGGACATACTGAGAATGTAGAGACACTTTGATTTTTGCTTCTCCGCTCCAATCCTCTGAGAGCTGTAACAAAGCAGAAAATGGAAACACATCTCGCCTGGCTGCGGACTTTGTACCCATTCCCCCTTCTCCACCAGTAACCCGTCTCTACGGAATACAAATTCACCCATGAATGGAAAGACAAATGTTTAGCCTGGGATTGAGATGGAAAGAGAGGGGTGGGTGCAGGGGGTGCGCTGTAAAAAGCCATGCACACAGATAATTTAATAAGACGGCAAATACACACGTAGGTTTAGCGGGCACACGCCAGGGGGCTCTAGTGCCTATAGTAATGTGCCTATAAGCTCTTGTCAGGTGTACCCAATCGCCACAGCGGCTTTGACAAATGATGCTGCCAAAAAGGCCACCTAACTCCGGAGTGCCGCTCGGGTGGAGAAGATCTGAGCCAATGGTCTGAGAGAGAGGCCGGTAATTACAGCATGCATGGTTAGAATCAAAACATTACCACTAGAGTACAACTGTGACACTGCTGGGCACAAGACTGGGCAGACCAGGCCATAGTTACACGGTCTGCTAGAGTGGTTTAAATACACTTAAATGCAACAGCTAGCTAGGTTTTATCCATGGGTTTCAGAATGATGAGAAGTTAGGATTGTTACCTTAGTAATTAAAAATTCAAAATATCATTCTGAAAATTACACCATATAACAGGAAACTGAAACCCATGAAACCCATGTTTGTCAGGGGAAGTTTATTATGATTGTACACCTAACATGATCAGAAGATGATGCCAATCCTAAAATGAATGTTGTAATAAGCTATAGAAGACTTTACTAC